TCCTGCTCTTTGGTCTGTCTGCTCGTCTGTCAGCTGCTGCAGATCTGGAGGATGGAGAAAGATTCAGCTGCTGCAGCATCCTCCATCTGAGGGGGGGAGGGGGGAGACTAAAAGAGACAGTGTCAGAAAATTATGTCATATTAACAGACATATAAAGTATATACATATTCTACTCATCACCCATATGGATTATTATATTTTTATGTATTATTTATTCATCCAATATTTTTATTTTTGACAGATGATTAACTCTTGTCTCTACAAAAATCCCAGTGTCCAAACTGGAGAAGGCGTCCAGGCCTCAGTGCGCCACCTGGTTGTGAAAACGTTGTGACCACAATGGTTCTGAGCAGGATCCAGTTAGTTAATTGGGTTGGGTCTTCTTCTATCACCACTAATACTGGGGATCCACAAGGGAGTGCTATCTCCCCAGGTTTATTTACTCTCCACACAAATGAATGCAGAAACCACACATCTGATCAAGTTACTATTAAGTTTGCTGATGACACAGAAATCCTGGACTTGATTCAAGATGATGATGAAACTAACTACAGAGTGTGAGTGAATCTGATTGGTCCAGTTTTTTCACATTTGAACAACACGAAAAGTAAAGAAATTATTTTTGACTTTAAGACTGGCAGCTGCACTGTTGATACTGAGTATACCTGGAGAAGCTATTGAAGTTGTAGAGGACTATATAGACTTAGGAACAATAATAGATGCCAAATTGCCCTGGAATTCAAACAGACGCTAACTATAGGAACGTATTTGCAGCGTTTTTACTTCATGCGCAAACTGAGACAGTGAACTGTTCCATCCCCTGTGGAGAGCAGTCCAACCTTCTGCTTCACTGCCTGGGGTTTTTGGCACATGCTGGATTTCCAAAGGGACAAATAAATCTATCTATCGAACAATGCAAGGATCAATGATCAGGAGAAAAATCTTCATGAATACATTCAGTGAAAGTTCTGTAAAGAAGCAGTGTCAGAGTCAACGGTTCTTTCCTTTTATTTTAATGTATTTTGATA